GTGGTTGTGTGTTCGTGGTTGTGTGTTTGTGGTTGTGTTCGTGGTTGTGTGTTTGTGATTGTGTTGGTGGTTGTGTGGTTGCGTGTTTGTGGTTGTGTGTTTGTGGTTGTGTGTTTGTGGCTGTGTGTGTGGTTATGTGTTTGTGGTTATGTTTGTGGTTGTGTGTTTGTGATTGTGGTTGTGGTTGTGTGCTGTGGTTGAGGTCCGGCAGGGAACACTGGGCGTGGATAGTCGTGGTTGAGGGTTGCGGCAGGGAACACTGGGCGTGGAGCTCGCAGTTGAGGTCCGGCAGGGAACACTGGGCGTGGATAGTCGTGGTTGAGGGTTGCGGCAGGGAACACTGGGCGTGGATGGTCGTGGTTGAGGTCCGGCGGAGGAGGACGAGGAGGAGGAGATGAAAATCTAACAACCCTCACGTGACAGGTGGGGAACAAAATGTTATCGGTTTTGAGTTGGACCTTATCGTTTTACAATGTTGTGAGTTCGTCACATGCTGATGATCATATACAGTGCTGGGGATATAGGTTTTGAGGTGGACCCTATTGGTTTACCTACCTCTTTTTAAGTTGTCATCGCATGTTTTGATCGTGTCTCATTGTATTCAACGAATGTGAGTCAAGGGGGTAGAACCCACAATGAAGATAATGAAGGGCATCCAATTTGATAGACTCCGAGGCATCTGGAGCCTCTATTGCATTCATTCTCCGCCAAAGGCCGGCCCCCAAATTGGCAGCCTGAAGACCTTTTGTGGCTGCTAGCTGAAAGCGGTTGATCAAGAAAGTCGAGCAACATGGGAGTGGAAAACAAACCAGGCGCGGCTTATCCTTGTATATATATAAATGACTTCAACTTGTCAATCACAAAATTGGTTGCGGCTCGTTCTTGACCTGACCTCCTGCACCCCAGGAAAAAATTCTCAACGAGGTCGTCACCTCGTTCCCTGCTCAGTGAAGGCCAGAAATGGATACAGTGTTTTTGGGGGCTCCAAAAGCTGAACACCCTCCAACAACAAAACAGCAGCTACTCAGTGTTATAATGTTGGACTGTTCTACATGGAACCTGCCCCATAATCATAGGACATGGCGCCTCCCACATCGTAACACCACATCGGCGGAGCTGAGACGCGCCCCGACGCTGACCAGAAAAAACACGTCTCCAACTCGCCATGATTTCACGTCTACCTACCCTACGTATGCCTAAAAAATTGGTCCCCACCTTGGCTTGATATTGGACAATAAAAGCCGTTGGACCCAGAAAAACAACAACCACAATATTTGGCGAGTTTAGCGGACATGCGGACACGTTCTCCTCCACGTTCTCCTCATGGCGCTTGAAGGTGTCTGGCTGCATCCGGACCTGGTCATCTACATCCTGTGCGACCAAGGCGACGCAAATCACATGGAAACCATGAAAGTGAGATGGGTTTCGCAATGCACAACCTGCTAAGAATGAAGATCCATGCAGTTTAGGGGGCGATCCAAGATGTTCTATGCTCCTTGGGCCACCGGGTGACTTTGTCGACTTCCCAGGTGACCCACCGGCGCCCCGTCCTCTCTCCGGCGCTTCCTTGCTCCAGCAATGCCTGCGGCGGAACGGAGCACTGGTCGCAGTGGATGTCTCAAGGTGGAGAGCAACGAGATCCACACGGAAAAGGACAGTAAAACTTTTTGAGGCTATAGGGTGTTTTTCTTTTAGTCAGTACAAGAATTCAGAGGCGAGATTGAACTGTGCCATGAGACCTCCAAGCTTTGGGTTGATATACAATATTCTGGAGCCCGGGAGGCTGTGGAAGTGCATTTTTTCACCAATTTTTGGGCTCTACTAAGTTATCTTGAGACATGTCTCCTTTCATCTGCTAGTTTTGCAGAGTACAGCAGTTGAGATGTCCTTGGCAGTACTGGTGCTATAAATTAGTCTCAGTAGATGATTGGAACTTACAAAAAATGCACCTCCAGATCACTGAAAATAGGGGCAAAGTGCACTTCCAGGGGCCTGCCGTTCTGGAATATACTTGCCATAGTTCCACTCACACTTCCCTCCACAAATTAAAAACAATGAAACAGGAACACACCACCACCACAACAACAACAACAAGGCACAAACAAAAACTGCAGCCCCCTTACAACATATCTTGTTCCTTTGTCTGATGTCTCTACAAGGGGTGGAAACAAAGTCTGCAGCCCCGTCGTTGTTTTTTGACCCCCTTCTCCTGCAAACGACCAGCCAGCATGTTCTTTTACCAGTAGTGGTAGTGCTTGTAGTAGTAGTAGCAGCAGTAGTAGTAGTAGTGGTTATAGTAATACTAGTAGTAGTAGCAGCAGCAGCAGTAGTAGTAATAATACTAGTAGTAATACTAGTAGTAGTAGTAGTAGCAGCAGCAGCAGAAGCAGAAGCAGTAGCAGTAGTAGAAGTAGTAGTAGTAATAGCAGTAGTAGCAGTAGTAGAAGAGGTAGTAGCAGTAGTAGTAGTAGTAAGTAGTAGTAAGTAGTAGGAAGTAGTAGTAAGTAGTTGTAGTAAGTAGTAAGTAGTTGTAGTAAGTAGTATGTAGTATGTAGTAAGTAGTACGTAGTACGTAGTAGTAAGTAGTAAGTAGTAAGTAGTAAGAAGTAGTAGTAGTAGTAGTAGCAGTAGTAGTAGTATTATTAGTAGTAGTAGTAGGAGTAGCAGTAGCAGTAGTAGTTGCAGGAGTAGTAGTAGTAGTAGTAGTAGGTAGTAGTTAGTTAGTTAGTTGGTTAGTTAGTTAGTGAGTTAGTACTGGTAGTCCAGTCAGCAAAGCCTCTGTAAAACTTCTACTAGAACCTCTACCACATCCTAGAGACAAAAACTGCAGCCCCGTTGTTGTATTTTTGGACCCCCCATCAAAAGATCTAAGATGTTGTCGTCCCTACACCCCCCTAGAAACAAAATCTGCAGCCCCGTTGTTGTTTTTTGACCCCCCCCCTCCAGAGCAACAGCCCAAAAAACAACAAAAAACAAGAAACACACCAACCAAGACTTGAGTACCACAACGACAAGAAGTCCAGCTACTAACATCTCTCCAAACCTTCGACCCTATCCCTAACAGTGTCCCTTTGAAATCCCTGACTTGCAACATGTGACGACGACAACAACAACAACAAACATGTAAACAAATATGTAAAGGCCTGTTCTTATTCGGACCATGTTGGACCCCATTGTTGGACTCCAGCGGATCTGTTCATGACAGTGCATGGTCCCAACGGCTGTCACGAGCGTCGGCGACGACCGATGCGTCCAAGCCGCTTCCGTTGGGCCTGGGAAGGGACGGCGGGCCAGCGATGGGATCGAAAAGAGGGGACTGGCCTTGCAAGAGGTTCATCATTAGGGTCGACCTTGAGGTCTGGTATAGAATACATATACTACTATAGTATATAATATATATATATATACATGTACTATATACTATTATATCTTATTGGAATACCAATGAATATCAAGTATTAGAATAGAATCCTGTGATGCCCAAGAAAATGGAACCCTTCCAATCCACTGGTCCTCCGCCACGGTCCGACCGAGCTCCCGAGCTCCATCTCCGTTGAGACTGTCTCAGCCTCGCTTCGTTCGGCGGAAGATCTCGGTGAATATACTTTGGTTGGAAATGCCACCCACCAACTCACCAAAGAACCCTGAGAATTGAGACCGGAGCATGATTCAATGATTCCGACTACCAGCCCAGTGGATTGGGGGGGGTTCATGTTAATTTACAGAAGGGTAGAGCGATTCCCATGAAGCAGTTTGCCCCTGAAGGATTCAGGATCGCGGAACCACATCTCAATTGTTTCATATGCAAACTCTACATGCATGGAATTATGCTGGCACATCGCCTTGTACAAAGCATGCCACTACAAGGTCCGTCTGGACTACTGCAACAGGATCCATCCAAGCCACTAGTACATTTACATCTATATGGCAAGCATGTTAATCCAAAAGTAATCTAAAGCCCCCAAGTCCCAACTAGCAAAACCATCTATAGATTGATATATGAAGTTTCGTTTGCCGCCCCAACTAGTCCACTCGTCCGCTGCACTTGGGCCTCCGGATCTTCCACCTGCGGATCCTGTGCAGTTCCGTGACACCCCCAGGCATCCGCAGGTGTGCTAACTCACCCCTGGTGATTTGGAATTTCTACACAAGACCTCCATTCCAAAAAATGAATGGCCCCTCGTTCAAGGGCCTCAAAAAGAACACCTGCTAGCATCACGTCAGTTTCGTATTTCCACTGCTTGCAAGCCCCTTTTGCGTCCTGTTCCGCTTCATCTTCTTCCGCCTCCTCCACTAACTCCTCAAGGAGCTCCTCCGCATCCTTCCGGCGAACCCGCGGTTCACCGAAAGCGGATGTGGATGCTCCCATGGTCAAGCCCGGTTCCCGGTGAACTGCGGTGACACGCATATACATTGTGTACTTCATATGCACTCTCTGAAATAAGAATGGAAGCGGAACATGGCCCGTTGGACGACCATGGTTGTCTACAAACAGGTGGTGAACTCCGCTTCCATGATTGCGTGTGTCTGTTGTCAATATTGTCATGTGGTGAACTTTAAATCCACACCCAAGTTGGGTCCACTCCAATCCATGGTCATTACCATCTCACAAGAATCTTTACAGGTGATCCCAAAAGCATGTAGAGGAACTGCTTCTGCAGGAAAGCGATACAGCTTTTGGAAAGAAAGGTGTGAATTAAATGCCAAGAAGGCGATCAGTGGACTTAAAAATGTAGGGCTGCCCACCAGGGCCAGCGAAAGTCAAAAGCAGGCAGGGCATCAGCAGGGGGTATCGGTAAAGTGTGGCTCAACATCCCGAAGAGATACAGTAGACAAAAAGTTGAAATAGTGTACGGTTGACCAGCACCATGACGCAAAGACCTTCTTGAATTGAAAACGAACTATAACTTGAACGGAACTTCCAACATCTGCCAACATGAGAGTACATGTATACCATTGGCTATTCAGGTGTTGCTTCCCCTATGGCGATCGTACAGCAAAGCTGTCTTCTGGAGATTCCTTCCAAATGCGCATATTATCTATTATGTTCTTATGCAAGCCCATCCATTTTAGTAGTCTTGAGTGGTTAGACTAAAACATCATCCAAGCAAATATCGAAACAGTTCTTTCAATTCACACGTTTTTCACATCATCTCTTCCATCAAGATTCGAATCCATCGCTGTCCAAAAAACGTCCAAAGAGTCCAAGGTCCTGCATGAGACCGGGGTCGTTCACGAAATTCCCGTTCTCCGGCACGAATTCACCCATGTCGAAGTCGGGCACCTCGTCTTCCACCTCGAGGAACAGCTGGTCCACTCGGGTGGCAGGCTCTGGAGGAACATGTTCTGGTTAATGACCTTGAAGCCTATTGAAAGCTTCCATGGAGGAATGCTTAACTTGTCCAAGTGAGGGATTATGAAAATGACTGCCTAAGCAGTCATGCCTGTCTTCAAACACCCACTTGTGCTTGCAACCCATGGTTTCTTACCCTAAGAGGCCCACAGAAACTTGAGAAGGAAGATCAGTCCTCTATATAGAAGCAATGATTTCCAAGTTCGGGTCGGGCCATTTAGCTTCCGCTCAAATAGTGAACAAGTGGGAATGATACCGCCAGAAACTCTCCGGACTCCAACAGAAGTAGATGAAGTAACTATACCGGTTAATACAACTACCTAGTCCAAGTCCGTTTCCCCATCATACCAAGCACCTGTCAGCGATGGCCTCCACCCTAGTAGCAATGGTCTCCAACCTAGTAGCGATGGCCTCCAACCTAAAATGCGAAGGCCTCCAACCTAATAGCGATGGCCTACTAATAGCAATGGCCTCTGCGCCCGAGCCACCCCAAAGGCCGCCGCTGCCAGCGCAGCCTCTTCTGCCAGCGCGGCCTCTGCGGCCAGCGCTGCCTCAGCGGCTGCATCCACCTGGTTGTGCATGAGCTTTGGCCAATTGACTCACCAAAAAGATATGATTTTGAGATATGATCTTTGATTAAGTTTGCCCTTTTTTCCAGACCTTCCAACAAGACAAAGCCCATCATGGACTCCCTTCACCTCCCTTCCCCGACTGTGCCTCCGCCTCGAGCTGCAAGGCTGTCTGCTGGGCCAGGTCGGCGGCGTAGTCCTCGAAGTCCGTCTCGCCCATGCCGTCCTTTTCCGCGTCGACCGGCGCCGGGGCCGGGGCCCGGAAGAAGACAGGTCGGGCAGGTCGCTTCAAAGACGGTTCAGAAGACATTCAGGTTGGGTATCTATTGATCTCTAAATCTTAACACATGTATACCAATAGCTATGTAACATGCATATACATTGCGCTGGCTGGTTCTACACTTCTGCGCGTCAAGTGTTGTTCAAGTATTTATTTTCAATTGACTCTGCCAGAGTCTCTTTTTAGTAGGTGCTTCCAGAAATACATCTGGCCATATCACATGTTCAGCCTGAGCAGCTAGGACAACTTCGTGTTCAACCGTTGATATATATATATATATTTTTTTTGGCTGTCTTCATATAATATATATAGAGGGACTTATAGAGGGATAAAGCATGCCAAACACAACTGCTCATTACTGTTTCAATCACATGGTGACATCACCCAAGCATCACATTGGGGGGTTAATTGCATGGATGTCTTCAAAGCAATTCACATCCAACCGCTTACAGCATCAATGTCATTGCGGCCTCACCCTCGGCGTTGGTGTCCACTGCCCAGCCAAGCCTGAAAGGAAGGGAAGGAAGACAGGCGTAAAGAAACACATATAATATAAACATATCATAACGCTGAAGTGAATCGTTCACAAGATCCAGTTGGTATTCTGGCAATGCCTGGTGGGTAGAACATTCGCCGCATTTCTATGAGTCCAATGCACTTGTTGGTGAGTCCTGCAAATCTGGAACCATCCACGGGAAATTGACATAAAAAAGTGAACCCCTTCAACATGTTTGAAAAACAGTTGTTGTATCTCTTTGGGCGGGAAGCTAAACTATATGCGTGTATCCAGTTCTATGCCCCTAGCATCCCCTAGCCAAGTAACTCTTCCTCACCCTCAGCGCCCTCAGCTGCGCCGTCAGCGGGTGCCTCTCCATCCTAGCGTGAACCGGTTGGATGAAAAGGCTCCAAAGACCTTCTGAGCAATTCTAGATCCTGAATCCTGAATGTCAATCAATTACACATCAAGAAACAAAAACACGGCGTGTAGAAATGAGTTCAAGAGATCGGCCCAAAGGCATGCATTTTCCGAAGAAAACCACACAAAAGCGCCGTCTAGAAAGGAGTTCAAGATAGATGGGTTGCCTTTGTTGAACTGTGTTGCTGGATTCGGGTACTTCGCTTGGTCATGGTGGTCTGCTCATCGTCTTTAGAAACCTTCAAACCGCTGGATGGAACGAGGCGGAAGTGATCCCCATGGGTCATCTCTGAAGGCCTTGATGCTTCTTGAACTCATTCGAGATTGTTTGACAACACCCAGGTCTTGGTTGAACAAAAATCATGCTCACTTCTTTGGACAGCTGGCCCCCTCAAAAAAAAGAACTGAAGTTTGGACGCATTGCGTAGGGGTTTGGTATGTGTTGGTCCGCGCCTAAGGTCGATTTGGGACACTCCATGCTGCGAAGAGCGTGTCAGGTATGTTGGGTCTAATGCAAGCAGGCACACCGAGGGACGCGTGTCACGTGATGCTCGAAACGTCATAACTATCCTGGTGGTGCCTGGCAGCCTCAAATCCCGTTTGTTTGAAAGGCAACCCCCTTCGGCAGACCCGGCCATGCCTCTTGCTCAAAGTTCTCCAGGAGCATGAAATAATTGTCCACATCCTTAGATTGAAGTCAAGGATGTGAACTGAACCAACCGACAATATGTATATATATATACTATAATCGTACTATATCCGACTCAAACACACTAACAGGGACAACTCTCATTATCTGGTTGCAACCCATAGCCATTCCAAAGTCTTCCTTGCAATAGACTTTGAAATACAGGATAATGATATGAATCCCAATGTGTTTGCGGTTTGATGTTTCATGTTGGGGTGTCTAAGTCAAAAGGTGCATACAGTCCTCCGACTGATGGATGCACCCCCTGCCTCGAGGATTCCATGAACAAAGCGGACGGGCCAACCGTGCCACCTATATAGTTCACACCTGCGCACTCCGAGGTGCCTGATCGGCCATAGTCTTCGGCACAAACAGCACAGCCCATGGCCATCAGCTAGAGTTCATTGATGTGGAAGCTTTCATAAGTGAGCAAAGTACATCTAGTAGGTGTGAAGGCTACTCAAAGATGCTAGTTAAAGCAACCAAGAACAACAAAAAGGGGCAATCGCCAAAAATGCTGCACAATACCCAAACGATAGCTATAATCAGGAAGTCGTGGGGTTAGGCCCTGTGAGCAATTATTTGATTAACTTTATAAATAGTGATAGGTGGAAATGTCATGGTGAGCACATGTCGTTTCACGGCTGCCTTTAAAGCTATGTTTGCAGTTTTAAGGCTATTGTCGTATTGCAATGAGTTTCAGCTTACCCTCCGACTCGCACACATGGAACATGAATCCCTGGAAGACACTCTTCCTCTACAAACAGGGACAAGCTTTGTGACCTCCGGAGTGTAAATCAGCTTTTCTGAGCTCGGCCCAGCCGGAATCTTAACTGAACTCATCCACATGATCCTCATGAACCTCACGTGCCAGCGAAACGCAAGCAATGTCTGGGCGACAGACTTTTCTTCTGACGACAAAATATTAAAGTATTACAAATGATGGTTGTGCGGCGCCCCAAGACATAGAACAGGACATGATCCACATGGTGTCCCACTTGCTGGAGGATGATTTCATCTGATAAAGTATTACTGGGAATTACTCTGTTCAAGAACAAGTCGGCATGTTGTTATCAGCAAGCAGCCGTAGTCGTCGGGTAAGGTTCTGCTTACGAGTACCATGCTGAATCATCGGCCCTAAGATACCCAAGTTAGGGGTTGGGAACATTGACATTGAGTACTACAGTTTGCATCCCTAAGCCCAGTTTAAGAGTGCTATGTTGCAGTGCTGAGGTGCAGCAAAAAAGCATATACATAATACATCCTGAAACAAAAATAATCAGTGCAATTGAAAGAATGTGAAGCCCGTGCGAGTTATCTAAAGCAGCGTGTAACAAAATCTCTAGGTCATTCAATATTGGAACCCCGAAGGGGGAACAACAGGTGTTGATTTACAAGTCACAACGTGCACGTGCCGCTTGCCCACATCAGTGTGATCCAATCAGGATTATTATTCACCCCCCCAATATGAGGCGGTTGGCTGTACTAAGAGTCTACAATAGTACACATGATCCTTTTGGGGGATGTGGGCAGCGACGGCTCCCCCCTACCTCCCCACGTCCCACCTGTGTCGGGTCCAGCCAATCGGTACCTCAGTGACCAGCCGAGCCTTGTTTTGGAAACACCGGTGTGTCGGATAGACGCCCCGTGCGGCGATGCAAGGCAAACACCCTTGTGACGTGGCATGGTGCCCTCTGGGAAAAGCACGGAAACAGTGGAGGTTTGCAACATGTGGTCCTCCAAATCTCTTGGCACCACACATCTTGTAGTCACCCCAAATGAGATCATTCACAAGCCTGTGCCAGGTGCGAACCTGATATCAAGGCCCAAGGTGAAGGGGCTGTACTACTACAGGGCCGGTCATTAACAAAGACATGCGGAATGGATCTGTTCGTGACCATGTCATGTTGCATGTCTATGGCCAAAAGGGTGCAATGATAATGATCAAATGCTTGAGTACTCTCGGTACTCTATCAGTGAGGTAGGGACTGGAATTTGATGAATTGTTACTTTTACATTTGATCATCATTTGGCTGTTATTCACAATGTGTTCATGATGTTTTTCATATTCTTTGATGGCAGAACTCCATCCTTGTTGACCTCGTCCTGTCTTTGTCGCATCATGACGGGTGCTGCGTCCAACGCCTCCGTCCGGGCGCTCGGACGGCCGTCCAGGATCTGCACGAGCGCGGTGTGCAACATGACGCAGGTCCTGGACGGACGGACCCTGCCAGGGACGGACCCTTGCAACAAACCATGGAAGTGGACGACCACTTCCTCCATTTTCCTTTCAAATACATGGTCCTTCCCCGGAAGGACAAGTAAGTGTAAGCCGTGTTCCACGGACGCATGATTCTTGGAAGGAGAGTAGGTTTGGTGAGTGGACACCACTCACTGCTGTGCAACATGCTCGAATGAACTCCAACCACATGGCAACGAGTGCCACTGTGGGGCGGTGCGGAACAGAACAAATGGTCTATCGGAGTCTATCGTTCATCCTTCAAATGGTCTAAAGATCTGGCCAGCTAGCTCAGGGTGAGACCAAGGACATCTCAATAAGAAAAGCCACAATATGTATATATAGTATTTTCGACCAAAATCAAATCTGTGGGTGAGGTCTGCAAAGCTATATTTATAAATGTATAATTAGTCACTAATGTGCACGTTGTGTTTGAATCCTAGTCGCACCCGCTTTTGCTTGGTCGTCCTCTCACGCTCTATCTCGGCCAAGCAGCTGGAAGGATTTGATGAAGCCGAAGCGAATGAGAAGTTGCAATGTTTGGATCACTGCCTCAATGTGCACATGGAGTTGAACGAACGGTTAACCGTTAAAAAAAGCCAAAGGAAAAGCAAAACAAAAGAGCTTGCTTTGGTGGTCCACTGCAATGAACGCTGGTCGGCCCACCGCAGCGGTTCTCACGATTTGGGCCGGCCATCGGGCCCCATGCACATCTGCGATGTGACGATGTGTGTGTATATATATATATACTCTGGCTGTTTGACTGCAAGTCATTATAGATTTATGGGTTCCAAATACCTTCAGCTCCAAGTATTGCAACTGCGGTTAGCTGAGAGGCTGCCCAACGGTGCAGCTCTGCATAGCTCCACTCAAATAGGGGTGACATGAAGCCTTTCTAACAAATTGATACCGATTCAATTGGGCCGTGGGTCATGGCACCAGGATACCTTGAGGAAGACCTACCGGCGGGAGGTCAAGCTACATGGTGGACCAGGGCTCCAGGTTTTGACCATTTTGTACCGATCCCCATTTCACTTCTGCAGTTCAATCACTGTCGTTTCAGGGGCACCACTCGAAGACTCCACCACACCCACCAGACTCCCCAGGCGCCGAATTTGGCTTGGGCAAAGCAATGTGTTACACGAATTCGGACAGACTGGCTTTCAGAAACTCCTGACAAAGAAGAATTACATATATAAAGCCAAAAAATACCGAAGCGAACGACGGCCCGGCCCGGCACAAGCACCCCCCTGGGAGCCGCTGCCAAGGTCAGCTTGTTGTCATCTTCTTGGCTGTGCACCTGTTCCTTCACCTACCAGTCCGACCACGCGCATCGCTGAGGTGCCCAATTCGGTGAGACCGAGTCAACCACGTCGACGGTCCGGTGTGGAGCCATGTGGAGCCCCGGATGATCAAAGGTGTTGGATGAATGGGTTGGTGGTTGGGGATGGAGCAATTGAAGAAGAGCAAATGAACACAGAGATGGACCAACATGCAGGCGCATGAATGGAATACATTGGAATACGACAATTAAATGAGAGTTCTGAATCTTTTTCGGTCACCTGTCCGGGTGATCGATCTACGTCAAGTTGATGTCATTTCTTTTGGGCCCCACCTCGGTGATTGCCCGTTTCGTCACCCGGACGATATTGACCTGGAGCCACGCCGAAGTTCGCTCTTCCCACCCTGCCTTTGGATCCGTCAAGTAGTGACACACTGCCTGAGGCGACAATGTTAGTGACCTGCTCACTGACAACAAAATAAGAAACAAAGCTTACCAGGGCCAAACAACGCTCCTTCGCCCGGCACTCAGACATACTCAACCTCTCAAAGTGCGTCCGGGGTCTCTAACAACTAACATCAATGCTAACGAGACTTGTGGAACAAAAAGTTAACGCGTGTATAGCCGTATGAAGGTGCACCTGGCAAGAAGTCTTTTCCACTTCTCAGTGCTGATGGACGGATTTCGGAGGAGTTCGGCCTGTACCAAGCCATCCAACTTCTCAGTGCTGCGGAGACTGTAGAACGCCTTGACCTGCAAAAGGTGGACATCAATTTCCACAGCTTTTACAAGAGGATGGGCACGTTCTTGAAAGACCTTGAAACACGGATTGGGGTCTTTGCAGTCTTCCTCAATCTTGCAAAATCCATCTTGCCTAAGTTACCTGCATTTATATACATGTATGTACTTTAAGTCTCAAATACAGCAGGAGCATCAACCCCGTACGACTCCTTGCATTTTTTTGACAAGACCCTTGAATGTCACGATCCCCTTGCGGCCCTTGGCGTTCACTGAGTTATATAACCCTTTTTCTTCAGAACAGTTACCCCTAATTACCCCTCGCATCCCCTCGCCGGCCAAGAATTCATTATATAGTCCTTAGAATGCCTTAGAACATCTTGGAACTTGGATGACTGTCTGCTGGACCGATCTGAATTCCCCCTTTTTTCTCAGCTTGCTGCAGTCTTGGCGTTGCAACCAGGAACGGCGACTAAAAGGCTCAAAGGTCTCGAACGAGTCAGTTGGCAAACTCCACGTCATATTGGTTGCAGTTGTCGCCCGTTTTGGAGAAGCGGTCTGCTTTCCATTTCCAGCACTTGTACCTCAATCCGTTCATGAATGGCAAAACATATGCAATGCTCATAGGCAAACATCCTACACTAGCAGGGGGTCATTTTTACGTTCAGCGTGGCAAAGGTCTGCGACACAATTACCTACGTGTTTGTGAAACACATATTCTAATTCATTCTATATAGTGGATGGAGAGTAGATGGCACAATCCCCAATGTCGTTGGTTCATATAGACCCTCATCTTCTCGGTGAAGTTGCTTTGGCCCTTCGGCGTCCTCGGCACAGGTGGGTCCGCAAACCTTGCTTCCTTTGCCCGATGTACCAACTTGGCAGTCTTTGCCATAGACCGTGCTGCTGAACATGCCGCCCTTCTTGGCAATCAGTCCTGAAGCGAAACAAAAATCAACAGTCGCCGATCAGGGAAACACCGGCCTTGTTGCTTTGATATAAGCATGCAACTATTGAAACATACTGTTGTCATACTATATACATGCACATAAATAATCACATAATTATGTAATATATAGTTCTGTCTGGCCACCCGTGATATTCAGTCTGCTTCTTTGCTTCAATGTTGGTGCTTCATGCGTTCCTGTTGGTCATTCACAAACAATGAGCTCCAAGAAACGCTCACTCGCGCAAAGCCCTGCACCTAATTTCTGCTCTGGTTTCTGGGAGTAGGTTAAGCCAGGTAGCGTTCGCATCTGCAGCAAGTCGGCTTCTCTGTCTCTGCGTGTGACTGGATCTCCTGCGAGGTTTCGTCGTCCGGCATATTGGAAAGCGTCCCATGGGCGTCTGCAAGTGCCATGTATCGACATGTATCTATATGTAGGCCAGGAGCAAGGATGCTACGTTCGGGGCTCCTGGCCTTACTACTAGGAGCAAGAAGCTACGTTCGGGGCTCCTGGCCTTACTAGTAGTAACAAGAAGCTATTAGAATAATATTGATATGTATATATATGTATCGACATGTATCTATGATATTCTGATATTCTATGATGTGTCTCAACTTTTGTAGGCAGGCTGTACCTCGTAGCCTGCTTTGGGGCAAAACCTGTCTCAACAGGTCTACGAAACAATCTTCGATTGACCGAGCTGAAGCAAGCAGGTCAGCTGTGCTGCATTTAGCATATATTGTGCACCCTGCTCCTGTTGCTGAGTGTCGGACACATTGGCCTTCTCAACTTGCAGGGCGTCTTCATCTGAAAGCATGGCGATATACAGTATGAGATAAAACGGCACACTGCTAGTCCATGTCTCTGAGCTGTTCACTGGCTGTGGCTTCAGTCTATGATATTTGGCTATAGGCGGCATCGGCCTATAGAAAGTGAATTTTGTGAACATGCTGATGTTCATCGCGCGTCTTCATCATAGCATGCATCAGCACGAGGTGCAGTCAAATTCTTGCCAGGAAGATCTGGGAAGTCTAATGCTGTGCGACGTGCCTCGATGTGCGCCGCGTTCTGCTGCGGCAATCATGGCCAGGAACACAAGGATTTTGCAGACCTTCATCCTTCCTGACAAGTACTGAGAACTCAGAACGCATGCCTATGGACAGAACAAGGTAACAAGTGGTGACTGTGCAACACTAAGAACTTGCTGTCGAGTCTAGACCTGTGGGGTAAATCAATATCAAAAGGGGAAGCTCTTGTGAGCATTGCCAGAAGAATTCGTATCTGCAATTGCGATCTCAAACAAGTTGGATGAACACTGGTGAAACGTGATAGGAACATATATGGTGACATGATGTAATGTTCAGTGTAGAGGACATTGTTTTGAAGAAGCAAGGTGAACACGACAACCTCTAATGTGCAGCCAAGTGTCAGCCAGGGCGAGGCTCAGGTGGAATGGTCAATCAATCACGAGGGATCTTTTTGAGCTGAGTCGGCTCGTATGAGTTGGCCGAGATTGAAGAATCATACTCTATGTCGCCGCAACATGCAAAACTATATATCCAAATCAATCTCATGTTCCTTTGAGGAGGTTTTGCACTGGCATGTTTCCCTCTGCTTTCATGTGACCAAAGTGATCCCCCTGCTGGAGCAACAGTTACATTATAAGCTTTCGATCTCGAAGATCTAATATAGTGGGAACATACTGGCGCCTTTAGTTCATGCCCCCCCAAAAGAAAAAGGACAACCCACCAATACCCAAATCCTCTAAACAACAAATGCGCCTGGAAATTTGTTGACTCCACAGGGTGATAACTGGGATGACCACGCCTCGGGCTTTAAGGATTGGGCATGCTCGGCCTCAGGGCACGAAAGCGGTAAGCTGCTGAAAGCTTCATGTGAGAAACGTGAAACGCAGCAGTGTGGATGGACTTTGATGCATGCGAGTGAAACAACATGCATTTCTGGCCTTCCCCACGTGCCAATGCCCCTTGTTGAGGAAATTGCCCCTTGTTGAGAAAGATTGAGAAAGCCGCGTTCATGAACAAATCAAGGTTGTGGTGCAACGCATCAGTTCAGCTGGTGGTGGCAATGTGTCGAGCATCATTTCGCTCAGTTTTCAGCTGGTGGCCCAGGAATCTGGTGGTCCTTGTGCTAAAAGCAAAGCCAAAGAAAACTGAGACAAAAACAGTCCAATGATCTGGACGGGACTCCTGCGAGCCAGCCCGGATGATGTGAGCTCTGTGAGCGAGGTTGGGCACTGACTGGGTGACTGAGGTCTCACTCGGTGCGCTACCTTTGGAGATCTTCACATGTATTTGGAGCCCTTGGGCACTCCCTTGGGTATATATATCCCTGTCTGCTTATAGCTATCTCTGCACCTTGTCCGTGTATCCAGTCAAAATTTAGGTCATGCAACGCACAAACATCAATTCTAGCTTCAAAATCGCCCATTTCTCAAACACTATGCTTGACACATCCTGAATATTGTACAATATATTCATGATATGTCGTGATTATTCCGTATGTGTTAAAGTTGTTGTTGGTCAATGCACTGAACCACTCGGGTGAAACCTTGCAACTGCACACCACGACGGCACAATTTCTCGCCGCCTCAGCTTCACTTGTTGCTCTCATTGGTTGATCGATTTTTTAGAGATGTTTCATGTGGACGGTAAGCACAACTGGGGGAACGTCCTGAAATGAAACATAATGAAACAACATTAAACAACTCGCAACGCAAGTTTAGCGGAATGTCCTGATCCTGTACCGCTATCATGTCCTAGCCCTTTTTGAAGAGATTTTCAGCCGCTGCCCTTTAGCATTGACATCTCTAGGAACATTGAGCCTTGATGCTCGCACTGTGATATTCCTGCGCTCAGCACTTGTGGCTGCTGTACTGAGGAATCTGTCTGCTAACTGGCGCCCGCGAAACAAATCATTGGCCAAGGATGGCCAAGGCATGTCTACCATGGGTCGAGAAGAATACGTACAAAAGGTTCACACAGCAGTATCCTAGCCTAGGTTTGACTATTGCACCTCCTACCAGCAACACAAGCAGGGCACACTCAATACATGTGCGTCACTTTTTGGTACAGTGGGAATCTAACTCTAATTTCACGACAATGGTCTTGGTACAGTGGCTGATTTTATGCACGCACTGTGGGTTCAACTCAGCCTCAAATCCATCTGCTCGACTCCGTCGACTGCTGCGGAAAAGCGGAAATGCGAATCGCTGTGCACGCATATGGCAGAAGTGTCCTCACAAGCGGAGATGCGTCCGAGGTTCCGTCGGTTTAAGTAGTCTTTCTTTTCAGCCCATCGATGGAATTTAACTGGTACCTGCTAAATTGTTGAGGCCTTTTGGATTTCTTGGGGTCACCCCAATGAACACTTGGTTCTTGCTTGTTAAGGCAATTTGGTATCGGGCATAATGTGGCCCTCAGATTTATAAACCCCCCTAGAATAATGTATTGTTTTTTCCCTGCACTGATTTGTAAAGGCCCCTAGAATAATGTATTTTTTTTGGGGGGAGGGGTAGTTGTAGTGGAATGTTATAGTTTACTTTTTCCCTTTTGATTTGCTTTACTCACCCTCTATTCCTTATTAACTTTTCCCAAGCTCTCTAGTTTTGAAGCTTTCCAAAAGTTTCCAAAAGTCAGTGCGCACTTTCTTTATAAAATCCCTTATTCAAAAGTATTGAAAAACAAAGAAATCATTCAAGCAAAGGGGGTAGACGGGGTAGTCCAGCAAGCAGCTTTCTGACATTATTTAGGGGGGGGCCCTAGAATAATGTCTAGAGATTTGAGGCTTTAAATCTTTATTCCTTTTCTTTGCCTTTTGATTTGCTCTACTTACCATTGAAATTGCAGGTCTTTGGATTCAGATTTCCATTGAAACAGTTAGCTCTATTTCCATTGATTCATTCCCTTTTATAGTAATTAATATTCCAGATGTCTTCAAAGTTAGGTTTCTTGATTCCTTTTATTTTAATATTGCCAGAGTAGCTCCAGAGGTAGCTAGCTAAGGATTCCTTATTTAATTATCAATTGATTGATTTTCTTATACATTATTTTGGAGGCCTTGGTTGTTGAGGGGGGGGCGGGGGGGGTTTATAAATCAAGGGACTACATTATGATATGTGCTTTCCAACGAGAACCCTCGTGAAGCCCCCCTCGCTGGCTCTCGATGAACCCGAAAGCAAGACCCCAAGGCGTGCGCTCGCACGGGGCTGGCAAACCCCGAAAGCAATGCAATGAATCTCGTCCGCCCATTTTCCACTCCAGGGGTGGGTGGTGGATTATATTGCCATGTGCACCTTAATATCCGCACCTTAGAAGCAGTGCCACGAACCAATTAGCACTCATAAAGACCCTAGACTTGTATTACCAATTGCACCTTATGTGCTAGCAGCTGTGACACTGTGCGAAGAAGCATGCCCACCTAAAGACACATTTCCAGTGGCCTGACTTGCGCAGGCACTGCCCTGTATCCAATCAGTGGTGTGGTCTCCAGCCAGCTTTCGGTAGACAGGTTTCACAACCCGAGTGGTGGCCTTGACAATTCGATTGAAGGGTTTTAATCAGAAGTGCATCTTCCTGTGGCCAATCATTTCCCACACCAGGCTCATAACATTCCAAGTTGATCTTACAAACATCGCAACCAATACCCAAAATATACCATACCCAAAATATGCGCTGAGCAGGTCGCCAGAAACATGCCAATCAAATTCCAAATCATCACCCCGCCAGAAAACTCCAGCTTGGGGCAGGGTGGTGAACAAAGTTATTGGTGCGGTGTATATCGGTGTCACCTTGATGCAAACGGGCTAGTCATGCCATGTCAGTGTCATCCGGCTCACACCCTACCAGGATTCCATTGATGATCTTTTTCTTTCCTTTTCCAGGGCACTATGACTATAGTGTTTAAGTTTAAGTGAGGGTCCTGTTTTTGCCAAGCCACTCTAAGATCGACATGGTTCGATTATAAGCAGCATGGACTCTGGGTTTCTGGGTGGTAATTTGAGAGCCTGGGTTTCCAGCCGCTGAACTGCAGGGTGACCATTCAAAACAAATAACAACAAAGCTACTGAGCCACTCTGAACCCATCCAGGTCAACCCACATTACCAGGTTTGCAGCTTCAGGATAGTCCACGCAAACACTGCATCAAACCCCCAACAATGACAACAACAACAACAACAACAACGCCTTCATCTCCATGTCTTTCATCATCTTTCATCCCAGGCTCCGATTGCTGCGCGCAGCTTGTCCCGGCACTAGCGCCTCCGGCGGCGCGGCCGGCGCCTGGTGCTCCGCCGGCCACCGGACGCCCACGAGCTCGGCCTCCAGCGCCAGCGGGCAGCGCGCGGCGTCGTGCGGCAATGGCGGCAGGTCGAAGGACCGGTGCCTGGTGCGGGCGACGAAAAACACATGCAGTGTGTAGTGATCAAACCATTCATGCATGTTGCATGTGCTTGAAGAACAACATAGAAAAAACGGGTGTCAGTGGCGCGTTGTTAAACTTGCGTGATGGATCTTCATCGCAGTCACCACATGTCACCACTGCTTGGAGGGTGTGCATGCTGCCAAAATGGTTGCAGCTGACCTTCACTTCGCTGTAGCAAGCCTGCCCCGAAGTTCCCTTCACGCGTCAGGCCGCCTTACGTCACCAAAGCGGGGCGTTTCAGGCAAAGCGACTTGCCAAGACTTCCGCGTGAAGGTATCCCAATCTGCCGCCTCAAAGGCCTCAGTTGTTACTTTGCAACAGCATGAGCATTTCAATGCTCTCTGCACATATGCACAATATAAACAACCAGTAATTTACATATTATATATATAATCCGCAATGAAACATCTCTCTCTATATATATGTGCAAATATACATTTCTGTTTGAATACTTGTGGGTTCTATGTGAAGCCGAAGCCTAATGAGTTGCCCTGGTTTCCTCAGACTTTAGGCCTCTAGCCCCCAGCTGTGAAGTGTCCGTGCTGATGGAAGCACCAAGCCACATGACGCCTCACCTCTTTTCTCTCCTCTGCCAGGTCCAAGGCCATTAGCAGCGGGCCCACGTGTACCTAATGTCCATCGAAAGACCAAAGACTTTGTCACAAAACAAACTGACAAGTTTCAAAGGTACGAGTTTTGGTGTGTTTTGGCCCAGACATCCCAATCTTTGGGGGTCTGCAATATATGGGGCAATCATGTGAATCGAAAAGGAAATAGACCACGATGGAATCTGAGGTGTATGGATGATCATTGACATGCCCTTTTAGAATCTTGATTCCAACTACTAACCACATCTCAAAATACAATGTCCTGCCAAGCTGCAGTACTGCCCTCCGATGAACGAGACACCCTTGGTTCCAACGCAAAGTCTAATCTCACGGCCAAGCGTGGGCGCTCCGCCTGTCTCGGATGCGGAACCGACGGATATGTGCTTTTTCCGCAGCAAGTTGGTGTCGAAGGGACGCGTTCTGCTCTGTTTTGTGCTGGCCCTTGCTCTGAAAATGTGATCATAGCTGGGCTATAGATCTTCCAGGACCTGAGCGTCTACCATGTGTATAAACCAATCGTTTGCATCATCCAACGCCTTCGAAGAATCCAACCCACAAACTCGCTGGCCCTCACTGGCCCGCGCCTTCGAAGTCACCTGCACCCGTAGGAATCCGTCCACAACGGTACGGTTCACGGTTCGTCCCTCCAGCGTCACCCGGAGGGAGGCCGCTGCCGAGGGGTCGTCCCGGAGGAAAGGCGGCAGTCGGATGGTCAGCTGAAAGGGTTCCTGGGACCATGGGATGGGTTGAGGGGTGAGTCTTCTGATTCATGAGAGTGCTGAGAAGGCACCAAATGAACCAATAACCTGCTAACTATCCAGTTTGGGAAGATGTTTGGGAAGATGTGGCAATGCTACTTTTGGTTGATGTTGGCTTGGGGTTTTTGGCCACTTGATGATCTACCCTCTCCGAGGTTATATAAATGCGCCAGTGAAGAAAAGACAACTTAAAACTCAGGCAACTGCTTTCCACAATTCCTCATATTCATTCGCCACCCGGCCTCCAGGCCCCTTTCCCCCGACCCGTCCGGGACAGCCTCGTTTTGAATCCAATACTCAACTCCGGCATTGAAGGGATAGTCCTTGGAACATGCGCTTGGACGGAGGCGTCGTCAACAACTCATGACCTGCAAACCCTCATGTCAACTGTAGTCTTGTCTCAACATGGTTTTCATGGAATGGTTTGGCCCCAATGTCTGGAAAATTTGTTACCATGGACCGTGGACCTGACATGAAATAATCATGGCTGTTCAAGACTGAGCATAACGTGTCAAATACTGTTAGATCTATGTGTGTTCAATGTTTAGCTGTTGGAAGAATAGAACCTGGTGTGTTAAACTTGAAACCATTATATTTTACAAACTTGTGGTTGAAGCGACTTATCAAATATATATATTATATATATATATCACATTGTAATATTACAGTTTCTTTGATTGTGTTGAAATGTGTTCTTTAGCACACTGCTTTTGACATATGGATTAAATCTCGTTAGTTTGGACTTGTTTGAATTTGAATATTTGCAACAATAAACTCGTGTTTTTGAAAGAAGGCATGAGTATTGGATGAACATTAGTAATAAATGATGTAAGTATATAATATTATATATAATATGCATATATAGATAGGATGATGTGCAAAAGGTTGGGTGAAAATATGTTCACTTTTCTTGCCAACCTTTGAACATGACAAATACATGATGTTTTAGCAATTACTAGTAACAATCAGTTTAAATATGTTTAAATATTTACTATGCGACTAAAAGATACTACCAAACAATTGTACAACATTGTATTGAATAGAGTATATCAAGTAAAAGCATGAGTATACATGAGTCATGAGTCATGTTGATCAAACATGCCCCACTCGCCAGCGACCGCGAGTGGAGGTGTGAAAACAACACGCGCGGCAAGGCTCCGTCTTCAACTCGATCTGGGCGCCCAAGTGGGAGAAACGCGCCAGGCTAGGAGCCCAAAGTGCTGAGATGATCTCCTGGAGCGGACACACATGTGTCCACTCGGCTTGAAAAGGACCCTGCTAGGTAGCTTGAGGTGTTTTTTGGGGGTGGGTTTTAGATCATGTTTTAACATCAGACTCATACTCATGCATCCTCCTTAAATGCCCCTGACATGCCAACTCATGTCCACTATTTTCCAGTCGGTTTGAAGTTGACTTTCCTCTCACAGCCTCTCACAGGTATTTGCAATGTTAACTTTTCGGGGTACTGAGATCATGAAGTCAAGCACTCACCTGCTATCTCAATACGTATATACACAGTAGAATTATGTTGGTGTGCAAAGGGAGGCCGTGCTGCTATGAAGTGTGATCCCACCAAACTACACCCAATCAATCCCCATACGTTTGAGCACTGTATTGAGGCTGCTGCTTTAGCAAGGAACTTTGAGTGAATCTGTGGATCCATGATGATCCATCAACAGCTTTTCCAGGACGCGAAGGGGCACCATCTTCGCCTCGCCTCAAATTCCTGGTAGCCTGCGACAAACAGGCCCATTCCCAACAAAAACATCTGTTCCAGAATTGGGGCTTCAATTAGTGCCATCGATTCCTTCTGACCGGAACCAACTCCGCCTGAAATCAATCTGCAAGTCTCCTTTGTTTCAGGCGACTCAAAGAACAAATTCGCGGCAAATTTCGGATAACCCTGATGGAAATTGGAGGTGCAGCACGGGTAATTCCTCAGCTGGCCGCGAGGAACGAGGCAAGCAAGTCGGCATCGGCACGACAGACGAAAAAGCGCATCTGGGCGCCGGCCAGTAGTTGCCTGGTCTTCTTGGTGACTGAGCATCGCTTTGATCAAACTTCGAAAAGGCATTGGATCGATGATTAGGGTCTCCTGCATGAATCAACATGAAGACTCACTTTTATGTGCAAACGCAACGTGTAGAAGACAGATCCATTTGTTTTAGAAATCTGTTGAAGCCCTTTCTGCTGAAGTGTCATGGATCAGGCCTTTCTGCACTTCTTCACACAGCTTGGACACCGAATCCCTTCAAATTCCTACCAGCAAGACAGGAAGCATGATGTTCCATCCGCACCGAGACTCAAACGGGAACGAAAACATGTCCCAAACTAAAGTAGAAACTGGGAGACCGCCCCTGCAAACTGTTCCTGGCAGGCCATGCCCCGTGGCAGCCCAAGGAGACCCCTCCAAAAGAAACGCCAAGTTGAATGATGTCCCACTCCCAAAAATCCAGCAGCTGCAGCAGCTCCCAAATACCAATGAACAAACCACCAGTCGGCTCATTTCTTGGGGGCTCTAACACTAACACCAAATCTGAACATCTCCTCCAGTCCTATTCCGATCCAACCATTCCTCGGATCCAACCACTCTCTCAAGTCTCGGGGCCAAGCCGTACATCGCTGAGTCGGGCCCATCATGTGTCCACACATGGTCCACCCTCACTCGAGCGAGTTAGCTTAGGAGGTGTGGGGCCGGTGTGGGGCCCAGTGGGGCCGCTGGCATATCAAGGGCCCCGCATTTTGGTTTACGGAACTTAGCACCACCAAGTGACATATTTTTGGAGGGCAATCCAAGCTCCTTCATCAAGAATGGCTGATATCCCACAGTTCTTCAACAAGGAAACTGTCAGAAACAAAACGGACCGCCAAACATGCGTGAAGACTCTCAGAAGGGAACAAGTGGTGGGTCGGAACATACGATGTTTGGAGTATTCCCTCGTTGAACCCGCAGTTGGATGGACCTCGTGGGTGATAGAAGGCCTGGCGTGCTTAGCCGGAAGGAAAAGGCACCTGGATCCTTGTCCTGAGAAAAGGGCAATAAATAGCTGACAGGAGCGGCCCTCCACAAAACTGAGGTTCTTCAATGCGACAGAAAATGCTGAAGGGTTGATCATACTCTATCTACCATCGGCACAGGACAATCCCATGCAATCCCCTACCACAGTGCTTTCAACCAGCTAGTAGTGCCAAGGCAGCCGAGGCGCTCGTGGGAAAGGGCCTGGTAGGAATTGGCCAGCTGCAAGTAGGGGTGGCTCCATAAATCTTCGCTCAAGCTACCAGGGAGGGCATTGTAGGCCAAGACCTCACCAATGAAAATACGCAACTTGCACAGCTCGTGGCAGAAATTCAGGAGGCAAGTGAAGCATTCTTGAGCCTTTTGAAGATTTGGTAAGTATCTTCCGATTGCCCTTCTAGGAATGATCTGCCGGCATACAGCCTAGCAGGGCTATGGTGTCTGGCACTTTGGTGCATAACAAGCGACCTATTGTCAAGTTGTCAATGAATTGTGATTTCACGCACCCTGGGCCAGGCCGGTGTTCCGGCACCCCTAAATGGGAATCTGCAGGGTTTAAGTGGAAGAATCAATCCATGAAATTTGCTTTAGACAATGATTCCTTCCGACCCATATTTGCTGATCATAGGCCTTTAGAGAAGTAGTGCACATCAGAATCGTATATACTTCTTCCCAAGAACCAGTTCCACCTGGTCCTCGCCTCCAGAGCGTCCAAAGGCTTCACAGCGCTCCGGTCGTTGGGCGCCAATTGCGCGGTGAGGAGCAAGGACCACATGGCCTCCGTCAGTCCGTTGGGTGGGTGGCTCCGGTCGTTGGGTGGCTCCGTCAGTTGCGGCCAGCCAGGACCCGACGAACCAACGACCCGCATGGAAGAGGTATACACGACACCACTACTTACCGTACTTAACTACCGTATACTATCATTACCTGGACAATGATGTTCCACTACAATCAGGCGAAAACAAAAAAACATCCATTTCTATCTGCAAATATGTCATGGGTTCGGTCTGATTCTGAGGGCCCTGCAAGAGCGGCCTGAGTTGGGGAGTTCGGGGAGTTGGGCGAAGTGAGGATGGAAGTGATGCTTCCTTAGCGTTTCATGGTTCTTCCACATGAGCGCCGCTAGCCGCGAGCCAAAAGCTGGAACGGCATCCATCGAATCCTGGTAGATTGGAATTGCAATTGAACACCAAATGAGCTGCGGCAGCTGGGGGTGCTCCGATCAGCTTCGCCTCCACCACAGCACAAAGCTCCGTCCCACGTGAGGGGTTGGTGCCCGCCAGGTGCTCATCCGCGCTGAAGGCACCGTGCGGCTGACCGTGGAAGCGCTGAAGCTGGGACCAGGCCAACCAGGACCTCACCAGTGTGGAACCGTCTGAAGCCACTTGGAGAGCGTGCTAGCAAATGGCTGATGTTGTTGTTTTGATCTTATGATGGTTTGTTGCTGAATCGCATTTCTTTGTGTTTCCGCTAGTGTTCCGATTTGCGGTAGCCAGTCCTAAAGGTAATAACTGCTGCATAAGTTTCATGCGTATGCCAGTAGATTCCTACAGATGTCAGTCGCTGAAAACGGACCCAGAATCTGATACTAGTCTCCCTGGATTGGATTGGCGACAATAGGATTGAAAAATGTCTGATGATTTCAGATTGGATGATTTCATATTTACAAACCGAACATTTTGGCGATTGGATGGTCTTTTTGCGACAACACAGAGTTGTGCCAAAAAGGCAGTTTTCAGGAACTAGTGGGATTCATCGTGATTCAGGCCACCATCCGGGCAGGACGGTGTTGTGGCCTGACATTCTGTCCCGGACTCTCTCCTCAAGAAAAGCCCTATATAATCCTATACCTAGAAGCACCTGGGGCAGAAATTTCTGCCTCAGTCCGGTTTGCCCGGGAGGATTCGCGGATTTAGGGGAAATCCGCGCCAGGTAGGAATTTCCGCGGGCAGCAGGGAATTTTTGCCTCAAGCAAAATCCAACATAGCAACTCAAAAACCATTACAACCTACCAGGTTGTCTCTTCCATGATTGCAGACCACATACCGTTCTGCATAGCTTCACATCTCAAGATCTGACACCTTCTAAATTCATGACATTCACAAAGAGGCTGCGACATATGTTCAAGCCCTTCAAAGGCATCAAAGGCACTGTTCTTGAATCCCGCCTAATACCAGGAAATTGCCGCCGGTTTCCCGGGTATTTCCGCCGTTTTCCCGGGTATTTCCGCCTCTTTCCCGGGTATTTCTGCGTGTTTCACGGGCATTTTCGCGCCAGGTGTTTTCAACTTTAGACTGATTTTAGTCCTTTTGTGATCATTCCGCACAAGAAACCTTCAAAAGCAAAGACACCTATATGATGTGATGGTAGCCAGATTTACAGGTGGAGGTGGCAACTTAAGCGCTGCAAATTGTTTTTCTCACTGCGGTGACTGTTCCAGGCAGAAATGCCCAATGTAAACCACAAAGATATTCAGCTCCTCTAGAATATGTAGTCTTTGTCCCACTGGATTCCTGAAAGGGAATATTCGCGGCAACAAAAACATTTCCGCGGCAAACAGCTGATTTCCGCCCCAGGACGGGAAGAGCCGCTCTTCCCGAAAAAGGCAAGAATTTCTGCCCAAAGGATCTTCTAGGTATACATCTCCCACCTCATCATCTCCCTACATCCCATCTCATCTCCCATCATCCCATCGCTTGCAACAGCGAGGCACTCGGCAAAGCCCTGCTGCACCTCGCCGCTCTGACGAGCCCAGACCACGCCGTGCTTGACGGCCTGGGCATTGTTCACGCCGTGGGTCTTCAGCGAGTCCAGGATCACCGGCGCCGTGGCGAAGGCGCTGCTGTTGAACCACTGCTCCTCATGCGGACAGTGGGCCATGGGAGGCATCCACGAGCGGACAGCGAGGTCCATGGCCCTGGGGTTTGGTCGGTTTTGTTGGATTTGCGGACAGCGGACCGAATCAAAGACGGTCTTAGAATGGCAGAACATCTTCCGGAATGTTCCGAAAACCATCCTGGGCTTGCGGGCAGGTTTCGTTCCACTGGAATGCAGCCTCATGCAAACGTTTGGCCAAGTCCAAAAGCCAATGAGCGAAGGACGAATTGGCCGGAAGCAGGGCAGCAAAGTAGTGGATGGACCAAATCCTGAGAGCGACTTGGAAACACGCACCGTCCAAGAGCTATAGGGCTGGTGCATCTCAAATACCAAAAAAACATCTCCTGTGGGCTCATTAACAACGAAGAATGGCCACTGGCCTGTTTGTAAAGGAACATGCTCTTGAGCAAATATGACAACAACTGCTCACGTGCCACCGCGGGTCAAATCATGAGCCCTCATGGAGGACCAAGATCCCAATTGCACGCCTTCCTGCAGCTCCAATGAGGATTGGAATCGGGGGGAGCAGCCTCTAAATGCTACTGATAATGTTGCACCTAAAGAATGACGTCCTATAATGTCCTATAATTACAGATCCAATGTTATCTTTTGTTGGGCCTCGATGAAGAGTGCAGCACAACCTCTTTCAGGTGCCAAAACCGAAAAGGTCACTGGCCGCTGTGATTGACCAAACGCCAGTGGCTGCTCCTCAAGCCGTTGCCCCACCGCCGTGAAGAAACGATGTGCCACGGAGGCGCAACGTGAACGTTGGTGTCCCTCCGGCAAGGATTCCTTGCCGATACGGAGTCGAGTGAGAAGAAAAAAACAACTTCCAGCGTTTTGGTCCTCCAAAAAATAGGAAGATGTGCACCAAACTAAGGTTCTCCAAAATGTTTCTCCTGCTCCCAACCTTCACTTCAAAGGCTCGTGGTACTGCGCCAAAGCCAGCATGAAGGGGATACGCGACCAGAAATCCGACCGATCCTTGGCGCGGCCGTGGGGTACATATGGGCACATCCAGAATTGAGATGAGTTGAGGGAATCTGGAGGAATCTGCTGACGACACAGCGCGGTAGCGAATGACATCGACTGATCGCTTCGGATGATCCTGCTTCATTTGGGCCTCTATGTTATTTGGATCAACGACAGCTTCACAAACACCGGACTGATGAACTTCATTGAGTTTCCATCCACAGGGATCGAACAAACACTTCTCTATACTTCTCTAGAATGATCGCGAGTGAGCGTCGCCCATCCCACATAACTACCGCACACTATACTGCATTATATATGGGTCAAGACTCACGAGCAAGTAGACCGGGTCCAACATATCCCAAGCTAGTCCCCAAGCTAGCCAACTGGAGCTCTTTGTACTTTGATCATCAAGTCATTTCGGGACGTTTTCCGGTCACGCCAAGCCTCCGTGTCCGGCCCCAACCACCCGTCGGAGCCTTGGCGGGTGAAGATGCCCTCGAAGTACCTCAAAGCTCTGCGCGGCCAAGTGTGCTTATCAGGGACAAGGGGTTTAAGAGGTGCGAGGCCCACATTGATGTGATTCGATTGGATGGGGATATCCTGGTGCCAATGGCTGGAGGATCTACAGCAAAGGTGGAGAAGAAGCAAAACATGCCCACCTAGGCTGCCAACAATAGCAAAAAGAGTTTCGTGCAGCAAGTGGTCCACACACCGATCATGGTCCCCAAGTTCAAGCTTTGGCCAGGGAAGGGGGATCAAACTTTGCACAATTTACTATATAGATTATGTAGGTGCTTGCGCACTGGAAAATGCATGTGAGATAGGTCATCCTTATACTTTGTCCATCTATCCCAACCCTTCTTCTTGTTGGCTGAATGGCTGGTTCGTATTACATGTTTCACAACATCTCACAACCAATCCAGCTCCACACCATCCATCCAAATCCATCCAAGCATCTGTTCCACTGTTTTCATCAGTTCTTCATCCTCCACTTGAACCGCCAAGGGTACAGCGCCGTTGAGCCAGTACGGCGTGTTCTCGTGAATCCCCCCATCCACATCCTGAGTGAAAAAAGCAGTTCCGTTAACAGAGGTTTACAAGCAAATCACCATCTCATGTTTCTCCAAGACGATCCGGACGCGCCAAAAGTTAACTAGAAAAAGAAGCTGGGGGAATAAAGCGCGGTTCGTGAGTCTGAGTAGTACTCAAATATCGTGTCCTTGTTTGAGTTTCAAAGAGTGCCCAATCCTGTTACCTGTAAACCCCAATCTCGGAATCGTGGCCATTGACAGTCGAGCCTCTGCGAAGCCACCAAGCCAGGAGGTGTTGGCGATGTTGGGCCAGAACAGCGGCAGGTGGGACGTCAGCGCTTTGGACTGCCTGGAGGGTCGAGATTCCACGACATGTTTGTTCGACGCTACGCATGACACATGACACCTAATGACGGCACTACCTACGGCACAAGGGATGTGGGAAGGAGCACTTTCTCAAAGTTCCGAATGATTTTGTTTTGGTGAACTCGAACAAGCATGGGCTCTGTGCCAACAAGCTAAACAACATAGACATGGACGGCAGAAGGTGCAAAGTGCCACAATACGTCAGTTTGCGATGGGCATTGTAGATTGCCCATGAAGAGAATCAGAAGCACCGATGAGATTCAGAACCTGCCCCAGAATGCCCAGTAAGAATTTGATGTCAAATCATTGCCAATCTTGACTAGGATATATCATATCACATACGGATATATATATATAAATATTTATCTATACATTGACACCCCTGAAACCACTCCAATGTAGGTAAATACTCCATACATGGATTGCTTGGGTATTGTTTGGGTATACTGGCACCAGTATTCTCCCTGGAGCCCCACCCTTGCTTCTTTTTCAAAGTGCAGGTCCAAAAGGAACCAAACAAAGAATGCATGCATGGAACAGGCGTAGAGACACATGGCCTACCCACCCAAATCGATGCGTATACCGAGATGCTCTAAGGAGCTCTTGAATTCGAATCAAATGTCATGTCCTCCAATATTTTTTCTGGGTGAGGATCCGGCATGTACCGTCCTTCATTCTCTGTATTTCTGGGCTCTTCGATCATAAACATCCTCTGAACCTATCTGAAAATACAATCTCAAGGAATCGTGGGAATCTGGCTCCCAAATCACTGCCGACAATAGTCGAGTTTATAGAAGGGTCAGCACTCTCTATACTCTTGCTATCTTGCCATATCTTGCCACAACTTCAAGCACTTGAGATTATATGATATATTGTAGGTATGCACATGCGCATGTACATGCAAATGTAATATGTTATGCGGGGTTCAACAATTGGCAGTGCCACCCCCAATGGGCGACTCGGATAGCAGGAGCTTGGATGAGACATCTTGAGCATAACCAAGCAAGCCATTTCAATGGGATTGGAGTTCCCTTGGCTCGACTTCTTCCACAAAAGGAGCCTTGGATTCATGCCATTTCCCTCACAGGTTCCAGCATTTTCCCCTGCCCAAATCGACGACATCAGAAGTTAGAAACAGGGACCTCCCAAATACCCCCTTGCAATTCAATCAAAACAGGAGTGACTTGTTTGGAAGCACGCTACTGCATTTTATATGTCTCTAGACCAGCATTTGTCCAATCGGGGTGGCGATGACGCAGCCCATGTCAAGCAGCAGTTCCTCCATTTCTTGACCCTTGCATCAACAATCATCTGGCCCCACCCCAGTGTATCATGTCCAAGGAAAACACTCCGTTCCGGTTATCTGCTGAGAACCTCATTCTGGTCCGACGTGGCATTTAAAAACACTAACAGTCCCAGGTGCAATGTCATCTGTGTCAACAGCCACCCTTTCGGGCGGATCGCCCCGAGCGGCAGCCGCTGCCATCGCTCTTGCACAAGCGAGTGCGGCGCGGTAGCAGAAGCCGCTACCATGAATCCGAGAAGCGTAAGGAGCCACGACATGGCTTGGGAACAACGGGAGTGGCCACTGTGAGGGCGATGATTTGTTTCTACACTCAGCACACCACTGTAACTAGCCTATAGCCGCATATAGCCGCCATATCTACACATAGCTTGTGTCTAGACTGGAGTCTGCGAAAATCTCTGGAACAAGCGTAAGATTAAGTAGCTTCAAACATCTTCAAGCCACCGGAGGGGTTCCTTCCAACAATTGTGCTTCTTGTTTTAATGGTTGGGAGTCGCTCTACATGCATGCCCTTCTCGGGGATCCATTATCATTGTTCTTCTGCGGCGAAAATGCGACTTGCACTCCATGATATTTAGACGACTCATCATGACTTATCTACAAAAGCCTCAGAGCAGCTTTTGGTTCAAACCTGTCTGGTGTGGTCTTCCATGCCCCCCTACCACCAAGGATCATAGCTGGCAACACATTATTACATATTATTACATTATTTGCTCTTATTGGCCCGACAATGACAACAACACCATGCTCGTATCAAAAAAACAAAAAGTATATCTGGGCCGAAGATGACAATTTCCCTCTGCTTTCTGCTGTAATTACGGGTCTTGTAGGGGCTTGTTGTTTGGGCATCCTGGATGTTGGATCCAGCTTCCTTGTGCCTTCAAGAAAACAATCTTCACATCTGGGTAATCACCTAAACTATACCCCTGTACCCACTGTCACTCTACATCGCAAAATGCACTCATGCAAACCACATGTTCAGCCCTTCTCCGAATTACAGGTTCGCTTGCTTCTGAAGGCCAGTCAAACGTAGTCAAACCAATACTCACATGTCCCCCAAAAAAACGTGCACATTTTACCTACACTCCATAGCCAAACCCCCCAGACCCCGATCAAATCTACACATGCACGTGATCCCCAGTGTGGCGCATCGGTGTGGCGCAGCGACGAAGCGGCCTATCTTTGGAAGCTCGGCAGCCTCGGCGGCCTCTTCCCGCAGCGCGGCGCCGCGGATCACCTCGAAGGCCTCCGGGAGAAAGTGGTGGGGCCAAAGGCGGAGGAACCCAAAAAGGCAGGAGAGGATGTGAAGGATGATGAATGTGAATGAAGTGAATCACATCTACAACTTCACATCTTCAGATTTCAAAGGATTTGTATGATGTTTGTTCTATACGTATGTTTTTTCCGGGGTCATGAGTGGTTTCGTTCCATTTTCCCCAATCTCGACCGACCTGGAAGGGAAACTCCCAGGGCGGCTGCTCCACCCAGTGCTCCTCGGTCACCTGCTCTCCAGGGGCCACCAGCCCAGCATAGGGGACCTCGCATGCGGATGCCGCTTCCCCCGCGGCCTCTGTGGGATATGGGTGGAATCGGAACGGGTGGTGAGAACTGGACGTCCATCCATCGGATCGAAATCTGCGAGCCTTCGATGGAAGGAGTTGAATCTCCCGTGTGAAGCTCCCGAAACTCGGAGGGCTTCAACCCCCATCCTCTTGACGCTTTTTGCAGTCGATCTTGCCGGCCTAGCCACAGAAGCCAAGTCGTCAGGCTTGACATCCAAAAATTCCAGCAACTCCAATTCGCGGTAGATGTCACTGAGAAACCACCGGCCATGCCCTCCGCATCCATGGACGACCAGTGGCTGGTGCCCCGTCCGCAGGTTGCGCACGCGGGGAACGGATCCATGCAGCTCGAAGTCCCAACCACACTCGGGTTCGCCCATGTTCTGAAACATCCGGCATTCCTGCAGAATCCGACATGGGCTGGTCACCAAGGTCTCTATCTCTGGATTTTTGGAAGCGCTTTGCAGCTGGAGATAAGAAAGAACTTGGCTGAGCCCTATTAACGTTCACATGCATGTAGGCTAAGCAATTGGAACTTTGTGGTTGCCGTCAGCGACTATCCAGGACGATCCACATGTGGCAGTTCCAACACGGACGTCCAAGCAATCTGTGACCAATGGGTCGGGTGTTGATTGCTGTGAGATGGTCTACCGACCAGTTCTCTGGCCGGGCACACGACGTTGGATGGTCTACCGAAAAAAACTGGGGTGCAAAAAAAACAAACATACCCCCCGGCAAACTAACATGGAGCCTCACAATTCACCCGTTAGAAGACCGAACCCAGTACTGGGTTTTGGGGTTCTATGATGTTCTATGTCAATCTGCAAGGGAGTACCGACAATTCCATCGGATCGGCGGTCACCGCACACAAAAAAGGAGGCCGCTTCGCCAACGTTGTCGGAGGCTCGTGGTCCAAGTGGAAGGGATATCGCACGCCGCGGGTCTCCCAGTTCAGGAGGAACTCTTGCACTCTGAGTTGATCATCATCCTTCTCACTGTAGGTTCCCCCTTCAGTGCCATGGACCAGGCCATGAATGAAGGCGGTCACCGCTGCAGCAGAGCCACAGATACAGCCTGGAGCAGTGCTGCCCACTTGACCGGATGGGGATGACCTTCAGCAGCTCCCAAGGATTCAGGAGGATTCAAATAGTGGTTTTAAACCTCCCATGACGTCCCTAGTTAGTGGCAGTGGGCCAGGAATAGCGAAGCAACAAACACATCGACGTAGTGATCGCCAGCTTGTGGCTCCTTGTGGGCCAAGGGATCACCAGGTGATCCCAAAGACCTTCCGTTGAAGGGTCTTGGCTATATCAATCAAGGGATCCTTCCGTTTCGACACACCTACTTCATGGGTTCTTGAATCAAAACAAGATGCCTCTGTCGAATCTCTAGCCCCGCACTCTGCTTGATTCTTATAGTCAAGCTGCTGATTGCCACGTATTCTCAGCCAAGTGGCCCGAGTTGGGATATCGCCAGGGAGTTGCGATGTCGGGGAAATAACGTTCCATCTTGGGCGCCATCTTGTATTCCTCAGCTGGGCGACTACAACGAGAGGATATGAGAGGTGTGACCAATCTCAGCGTTTCCTCTGCTCCATCAAAGTGCAAACGACGAAGGGCTGCCTCTGGACGCCTTTAAAAAAATCTGTCTCCACCGCATCATTTTCTCCATGGAACCTAACAAATCCACAAGCACAAAATCCTATGTACCCCTTTCTGCCTGGGTGAAAGGCGGGGTGTGTAAGGTCCGATCCAAATGGCATGAGTAGATCCTGTTTCAACGACAAACATGCGTACCTCTCAAGCACCCTCCTCTTTGACACTCTCCCGGGAATATGTCCCTGCCAGTCGTCTCAAAGTGTCGGGTGCACAAATGCGATCGGCACCACAAAGAATTGCATTCTGGGCTAAAAGGTCCATGTCTTCGAGCTTCGCATAGAACTCCTCTGCGGAGCCTGTGTCATTTTAGGTCTTCTTCGCATGGAGCGTGGACAAACTCCCTAGGCTTCCGCAGCTTTTCTACCGCAACCTGTGGAGGCGTTCAAACT